AGTCCTTACATTATACTGCATCCTTGCCAGCCAAGGTTCATTATTTCGGCCGTCATGTCACTATTAAACCTTGGCAGAATTCAACGAAATTAAAAACAACATGCTTGTTCCTTATGATCAAATTACAGATCTGGAACGCTTGTTTTTCACCACAACTAAACAAGGAGTAAAGCATCATGTGATAACCTACTAATTTTTGCTATGTTGCTTGAGTACTTTTGCACAAATATTTTGCGAAAAATTAAGCTGTTTGAATGGTTGAATCATTCAAATCAAGTAGATGTTGACAATTTAATGTTTTACAGTAAGTTTCGCAGCAAGTTTTACAGCAACTCCAGGCACTGATTTGACGCTGAATTAGTGCTAGATGTTGATAACTTACTACAGTAGGTTACACACTTTGTTTTCAAATTTACAGAAGTTGTAACTAGAAATATAAACATCGACTGCAAATCAGAGGAATGATTGACAGATATTGCCCACAATGTTTTCTATTTTCACTACAAAGTCAGGTACACCTAGACTTTGAGGCGCGTCTGTCTTTCATTCACTTTTGGTCAGTCATCGTGTAGTTTGCGTCTACAAATCTGCATTTGTCCAAGTTGTTTAAGCACCACGATGGAGAAGCAAGGAGTCAAAAAACCAATTGAAGTGAGAACAAGAGTTGTCGATTTGTATTTTCGTGGACTGTCATTTGTTGAGATTAGAGATCGAAATGGTGTTTCAAAGCAGACAGCTTAAAATATCGTCAAACGGTTTGTAACCACCGAGAGTATCCTGCCAGGAAACTAACAACGTTATAATATGTCGAATATTATAAAACATTGCGACCGCGCATTTACGGACGGGAAATTCAACAAAAACTAATAGTGTACAGCGGCAACCCTCCCCCGACGTGTGATCTTGTGTTGCCAATGACAAGCTTTTTAAAGCGATTATTTGGTGGTACATCAACCTTTTGTTTCTCATCATCGAGAACTAATAATCGAATAACACCCATTCTACTTATGTATTTAATTTCATTATTGATATACTGGATGAAGTCTTCATAGGACATTTGTTGCAGGCAGCTTTCAGTTATATACATCGACGTGATACAGATATTTCCATAGTAGGAATAATGAATGCACTTTGATCAATAATTCTGTCATGATCAGTCGGTCAGCTGGTTCTGTAAAATAACGTTCTTTACAGTGCCACCACTGTATGCGCCCTCTCACTGAAATAACATGTGATGCAAATTGAAGTACAAAACTAAGTTGAGAGCTTCGATCGTTTATTGGAGGAGAAATTCAAAACTAATGTACTGCCACTTTTATGGGCGGGGCTTTCTTCCAGTGCGCTTCAAATTGCAGACACGCTGTCTGCATTATTTGTAACAACTTATGGAGATGTGAAAACAAAGTGTGTAACCTATTGTAGTAAGTTATCAACATCTAGCACTACTTCAGCATCAAATCAGTGCCTGGAATTGCTGTAAAGAGTTCTGATAAAAAATACAATTACTAGTACATGTACCTGTTGTCATCTATTTTTAGCAGGTGCTGTACTATATCTGTGTGTGCAGATAAGACTTGGACTTCGGTGTATGGGTTACATGGCTGATCATCGGTTATACTGACAACTGGAACCTACAACGAGGAAAATATTTGTCTACAGTGAGTCAAGTCAATAATAGATAAGATAAGACAAGATATACTTGTAGCTTTATTACAACTGAAAAGAAACAATATATTTCTAGTTCAGTATTTAAAATTTTATAAAATTGCATACTAGACACCAGCTCTGTCCGAAAGTCATCTACCATGAGCATTGATATAAATTGTTTTTTCAAATATTTCTGTTCAGCACGCAGAGTCACTGTGTGTTAGCACAGTGGTCTAAAATGATGTCTCTGTCTATTGGGTTTCATTCTCATCTTCATCTGAGAAGTCTGATTTTTATTCTGCACATATCAAAATTGAACATCTGTTACATCAACTGGAATCTGGGACTGAAACACCAATTGCTTGTATGCATGTGATGTACTGATCCCCAAAACATTTAGTCTGCCATCGGTATTTTTTATGTGTGCGAGTGATTAATTTTGAACGCAGAAATGGTCACCAATTTTAATTATTTCCATGGTAAAATCATTCTGTGTATACCAAGAATACAGGTTATGTTTTTTCTATGTGGCATTAATTTTGTTAGTTGATACACCTTATTTGTTACTCGTATGTCTCTGTGCTTTTTTTTTTTTTTTGCCAGAGGTTCAATCGCTTACAGCAACTCAACATTCTGCCGACAAAAAAAAAAAAAAACATTCAAATTTTAAATTGTTGTGTTCTTTGCTTCACGATTAGGCGTGACAGAAGAGCAGGGTGTGAACTTCATTCAATAATATTTCTTAGTAAAAATGCATTTGCAAAATTATAAATGAAGGATACCATGACAAAAATTTTACCACACCACTAAACATTTAATTTTTAATTTTTACCAGCCCAACTACCTGTCTCAGGCAGACAGGTACCAGTAATTTAAAACATTGTTCAATTTGTTACGAGATTAAAGCTTATCACATGTTGCGCTCTCAAAACATATGTTTTTACTAAAAAGAACCATGTCTGCACTGGATTAAAGCGCAGTGGTCGTCGTGCTGCGCATGTGCGACATTTTGTTGATAACCATTGATTTTCATACAATCCAATGCGCTCTTCAAATGGAAATCACTAGTATGAGGTTTACCCTGGGCGCGATTTGCACAGAATACCGTCAGTGACACTTTCAATACCTTCTAGTCACCTAAAAATTGCCTTGTTAAAGCTTGGAAACAGTTTGTACTCGTTGATCTGCACAACAGACAAAGTCACCATTTTTGTTTATATAAGACCCATATATCTTGCGCATGCGTAATGCAACAACTATTGCCCTTTAAGCTTTTTATTTAAAGGTTTGACTAGATATACAATGAATACCAATTGGTAATATTAGAAAAAAAGCAGTTAGCTGGAGGTCAACTGTCTTTTTTAATCTGAGCTCAGACAACCACTCTCGTGTGAAGGTCTATTCATAAAGTTTACAATGTTTTGTAATAATAATTATCTTTATTGCGTTCGTATCCCTATTAGGATTTTGACTAAAATGCAATACAGATGTGAATAAAGACAAACAAACAATTAAAGTGAGAATTAAAATACACACAGGAAAATATAAACTGACAAGCAAATAAAAGTAGGAAAAAAAAAAGTAAATTGGATTGTTTCTCATATTTGTGTTGGTTAATGTTTGGATTACTAAAGCATGTACATGACCTTATCTCGAGATAGCTGACTATATTGTTTTCAGTTTGTCCTCTCTTGTTTTGAAACAGTTCTCTATGTATTTTGCTATCTGTATTATTGTTTTCTCATCTCTATTTTTTAAAATATATTTTAGTTTTTCTTTACTTTTCTGCTAAATGTGGGGGTGATAACAGCTGATACAGCTTTTTTTCTCCCGCGTAGAGATCACATGTTAAAAGAAAATGGTCTTCGGCCTCTATTGATCATCTGTTTTATACCTGTTATAATTAATGGATACCTTCCTAATTCTAACGACATGCCAACTTTGAGTCGGTATTTGCAGTATGTGGGCGTGCTGTAACTGACAACCGATCGAAAGACGCCTGGTCAATTCAAAGGTCTTCTTACCTGTTGAGGACGTTTGTTCGACTTTTTTTCATCATTAGCACTCCAGTTAAATAAAGACATTTGTTCGGTCGATGTGATATGGTTGGGACTTTAAAATAAAGAGTGTGGACAGGAAACAGACGACCAGGGTTGACCAGATTATGCATCAGGTGGGCAATATTGTGGACCACCTAGCTCGTAAATAAATTTACAATATGATGGGATTTAGATGAAATAGTTGCCAAAATACATGTCCCGAATAGAAAATTAAATGCGCAAAAATTGTCACTTGCTCTGTTCTGTTTCTAGCTAAATGTCGTACATTAGATAGACAAAAACTGAGAATAAACAGTTATTTTTTAAAAAATCTAGGGAGTCTCGCGCGGTGCATTGTGGTTGAGCTCATAAGCAAATTAGAGGTTCAGTTGGCGAGAGGTGTTTTTGTTTAGCTTCGTTCTTTGTCAAAATACTTCTAAATATGTAACGCAAATATCTTCTTTTTGTGTCGATGGGCTGAATTATTCATAACTAGAATTGTCTCTGATGCGAGCCTAGTGGTGAGTAAAGCCAAATTCCGTAAGGATAAACTATCGTATGTGTTTCGCTCTCGTATTAAACCACACTCGTGCCAGTTTTCTATGATAGTTGATACGACGAATCAAAATGGTGGTGTTTTGAGTGAGTGAGGTCACATATGTACCGGTTGTTTTTATCAACTTTGTTGCTATTATTCAAAAACAAATAAACTGCATTTACCTCGTTCTTTTCTTGGAGTATTCATGTAAATACAATTTTGAACACATGTGCGGTGAAGTTTTATTTTTTTTTTATTCCGTACATCAATATTCAAAACGGTCAATTAAAATATGAATGTCGATAGGACACGTATAAAATGACCTGTTCAAATGTTTACCCTGGCAGCAACACGTGCAAGTATCAATAGTTTCATTATTTTTTTGTAGCCGAGTCACCATTCCCTCTAAGTGCCGCCTAATAATTAATAATTTACGAAGGTTTAATTATTTTTTCTAGACTATTTTTATAAAGAGACTTAAAACTTCAATGGTTACACTTACTTGTGTACGGTAGTGTGGACGCTAATTTCTTGAAGGAGTGAGTGGTACTCCGTGAAAAATGAGTTTGTCTGAGTAAGTACTTAATGTTTGTGGTTTTATTGCAATATTTCTGTTGATGTTCACCTAATATGTACCACTATGAAAATTTTAAACTTGGCTTCCACTGTGTAATAGAAGCAATTGTTTCCTGACCTTGATATTAAAATCCACTTGTGTTGAATCATAGCAATGTTTTTGCCAGGCATTTTACAATGGGACCAAAATAAACTGATTATGAAAATTGATATTCTCCCAATCAACTTGGGACATTTCCTTTGAAAGATTCTTAGGAAAGAGTCCTTTTGTACCCCTAATCCTAAAGGTAACTGGACCCCAAGACAACTGGACCCCGAGACAGTATCAGAGTCTAGTGAGAGGTGAATTAGAAGATTTCAGCTGGCTATGTTCCAATTGTCAAGACAACGCCGATGTCGCCATGGATACTGAACCAGCACCGGAACCGGAGAATGGGTCATTCAACGTCAGTCGTTCGTTTAGAGAAGTCTCTGAAGTTTTAGAGGACACACTTTCTGATGGCGAAATCCCGGACCCAATTCCAAGAATCGGTGAGCCGGATGAGACTACGTACGAGATCATATTGGGTGCTACGCAGAGAGGTAAACCCATTCTTGTGGACAATCATGGCTACACATATACAGCGAAAAGTACAGGTCGTGATTCATGCCGAACAACGTGGCGATGCGGTCTACGAACGAACAAGAACATCAGATGTACGGCATCAGTCATCGAAAACAACGGTGTTTTTGTTGAGGGATTACTGGGTCATTCCCACCCTGCTAAACTCGGCACAGCTACGAAGATAAAAACAACGATGGAGGTGAAGAAAAGAGCCAAAGAAGATATATTTCAGTCAGCAGCAACTATCGTCGAAGAGTTATTAATTAACAACGAGGATGAAGGGGCCAACAACCAGTTAGTACCGGCTAATTTGATACGGAACGCTAACAGACAAGAAAACAGATAACGATTATTAACGATCAAGCTAACAATGATTACCCCCCCCCCCCCTTACAAAGAAGAGGGTGGTATCGCCCAAACATGGCGACGCATGTGAACGGTAATGAACAATGGAGTACATTTCCAATGAAGTAGCTATTCGCACGTAATGGCGATCAGTGGTACAACTCGCTCAGATCGGTTTAGCGTTACCGAGATGTGTTAAATCAGATCCATTTATTTATCAAAATCATGATAAACGGCACAGATGTAGACAACTCGTTCCGTCACGTATGGGGGGTCCAGTTGACTGGGGTCCAGTTGTCTCGGGGTCCAGTTGTCTGGGGTCTAGTTGTCTTGGGGTCCAGTTGTCTAGAAACCATCCTAAACCCCCTCCCATTGAATTGTATAGCTCCCTCTAAATAACTATAGTTGTCCTTAGGTGGCGCATATACAATTAAATTGAGTAGCACCAGAGGGGGAGGGGTAGGGGTAGCTTTATTGTTAGTTTTAGGGGCAAGGGTACAATAAATCCTTGTAGCTTAGTCCCCCTAAGTAAAATAAAGGGTACAGTATACAATAGAATTGTTGTCAAAGGTCATACCACAGGACACTGAAATGGAGATGGTCATTCTCGCATACTTCATTAATTAAAAACATTTTAGATCTAGCTTTGAATAGCTGTGTCTTAGTCTATACAGAGATTTAGTATTACTATTGACAGTCCTCAAGCCTAATTTTTTTAGTATACTAAATCAGAAAACTATTTTAGCGAAGGCTTCTGCATCAGGCCTTGCCGTCTATGGCGAGTGATCCCTGGCTCGCCTATCACTTGCGTAAGAGGCTCACAAGGTGAGCTAAAAAACGCTCGCCTAGGCAATTAACACACAAGCAAACGGGGGTGATGACGACGATTGAGAAGGCAAGCGAATTACCAAAATCAAACGGCGCTTTTCAGGGCCATGAAATCCTCCAAAAAGAGAACCGTTTTTATTAATATTGCAAAATGAATGTGTTTAGTTTATCGCCAAAAATTAAACTTAATTCCCTTAGTGTATAAGAGTTCAAGCGGAGTTCATGATGCGTTGTCACTAAGGACAACCGTTGACATCAAACGTAGCAACACCAAATTCTATTGGCAGGTAAAAGCTTAGTATTTAATTTGTGACCAATTAGAGCATGGGTAAACATACTAGTAGTCAATGTGATGTCACAAAGTTGGGAGAATACAGCTTCAGCGATTGGGTCAAGATTTTGCCTGGAATTGAGCCAGATTTTCGTACGTTTTTCATGAGTTAATTAAGTATTTCTGAATTTCCATAATATCACAGATAAATTGAAAATTTGTTGTAGTTGGATCGTGATTCATTAATTTTCTGCATTGAAAAATATGTCGGCTGACTGACCGGCGATGCTAAATACGAACTTTGGTATTATTTATGTCGAGTGATGATTATCCTACGAAGAGTTCTAGTGAGCGTTTGGCAACATTCCTTAAGTGGAACACTGGTGGAGATATTGGATATTGTCGTGTGGAAACGGATGAGGGTCAAACACTTGTAGTCGAAGTATGGTGTGAACCTCAAATGTATGCAGAAAATTCAGGCCGATGTTAACCATCAATGGTCAAGCCAAAAAAGACCTAATGATCTACGTGAATGGGACAAATAGCGTGATAAAACATGTCTCTAGACATTGTCATCTGATAATACCGGAGTAACGTTGATCCTGATTAAAATGCGAGATTGGCTGTGACACATGGTTCCATTTCAAAGTGAGTTGTGTGATTTAAAAATAAATAAATATAAAAGAATGACAACATGTCTGTAGTATTTTATTTCCATAATAATTTATTCATTATTATTATAGTCATAGGCAGTTATAGTTAACTAAAACACCCTTATTGCAAATCATATAATTTTCTAAAATCACTCGCCTCACTGCTTTTAGGCGAGCAATTTGTAATCACTCCCATAACTCTCCTCAGTGCTTTTAGGAGAGCAATTTTTCACTCTCCATCCATTTTCAAAAGGCAAGCACTGCTGCAGTTTCTCTTGATATTAATTATGCATGCATGCAAGCAAATGACATCACTTGGTTTTAATTATAGGCAGTGCATAGCTCGATTCACTACTCGTATTTCCTGTGTACAGTATGCAATGACGAGCACATCGAATCTGTGTTCGGCTGGTTTCTCTGTGACGTGGCATGGGAAACTATGTAATGTCGCGCAAGAACATTTACAAGCGTTAACTGCCTTCAGTCTTCTCTGAAAGACATGCAACATTATTTCCTTCAAAAAATGTCTTGTACTAACAAATAGGGCCAGAGGACTGTCGACAGTCTAAGTTTGTATGCATTTTTCTGAGAATAGGATAACAATTCTGACCTTGCAACCCATGCCAAGGAATTGTGTGCAAATGAAACTGTTGTCTGTCAATAAATCAGGCCATTGCATCAAATTCTCGAATTGATGGTGTTTGCACGTTCATCGTTTGTGTGCTTGCTCATATTACTCACTCCGTGTTGCATGTCTATTGTTCTTTTTTAACTTTTTATATTTCTGTCTTACTGTTGCCTGGTAGGTTACGCATACTGAAATAAATTGCGTCTGTTGGTAATCTGGAATTGTTAGCCAGAATAATCTTGTTATTTAGTAGTACATTTACATGTAATGTGATATACATTTGTACAGAGACTGCAAGTATGTCTGTTTTATTTCAGTCGCAAGAGTAAGTGGGATCAGCCCAACAGTTTTCAAGATGCAATGAATTCAGCGTCTACTAGTAGTCTTGAAGCAGCTTCTGCAGCTGCAGCTAAAATAAATGCCATGTTGATAGCAAAGGGAAAATTAAAACTTCCTGCCACTGGTGTCACAACTACAAAACCTGTGAACAAAGTAAGTGTGCGTTAGCAATACCATACCATATTTGCTCTGATATGGCCAAAATACATTGTACACCTAATGCAATTTCAGGAGTTTATGGGCTTCTGTCTGTGATAGAGGCGCATATAAACATAAAAACTGTATTTATTGTATGCTAAATCATTGAAATGTCTTATTGTAACTGTCATAAGAGAATGTGGAATATATCATAATAGTTCAAATTATATTACCACAATCTGAGATAGTTTTAGGAATGATCTAAAAGCGTAATTTTGATTTGAAAGTGTGCACAATTTTGAAGATCTTGCTTTATCTGTACACTTTTATCTGATGGATCTTATGTTCAATACCAGACTGCTTGTTACGTATTCATATATCTTTTGTTTGCATCTAGGGAACTACACACAGGGAAAAAGACTACCCTCCAATATTGGTGAGTGAAAACCTAATGCAAAGCCACTTGCAAGATTGTTCCTGATTGGTCTAACCTAACAGCCAGCCATACCAATCAGAGAACACCTTATTTAATGAGTTTCAAATTCTGCCATGTGTCTGCTTTTACTCAACTGTAGTATTTAATTTAAACCACTTAATTTTCATGGTTTATTGAACTCAAGACAAAATTTTAAAAAATCACCAACACTGTTTTGGAACCTAGAGGAAATTTCCCTGCCTGACTTGCAAAATAATGAAAAATTGTCTGTCTCAAAATTAAAGCAATTTATTTTTTATATACATTCATGTATGTGTTGTGACTTAGTTTTTATAAAAGGGTAGAATAATATGCAAATTTTCATATTCTTGAATATCTTACCATGAAGACTGCTGTATAATATTAAAAAAAACATGTTTGATTCGCTAAACATAATTTATGCAATGATATCTCGTTGTATAATTATTTCATATTCACTGTTTTTCAACCAGGATCATGTATGGCAGGAAGAAACTTTTCGAACTTTGGTAAGTGCAAATTCTGTATTTGTATAGTGATATTAGGTTGCGCTACTAGCTTTCTAGCTTTCTGCTGTACATTATCACACTTGCTTCTATGCTATCGATAAA